GCTCCAAAGTAATGCCCATCACATTACATGATACCGAATGACCCTGGACACTTCATTAACACATTGACAACAGTATGATGCGCATGCACGTCCTCGCGAAAGGGCATGGCTTCGCTAGATTCACTTGATGTTTTTTGTGCTAGAAAATTGTCCGCCTGTCTTCGGATCCAGGAAATGCTATAACATCATTGGTAACAAAATTCAAAAGAGTAGTGCTAGTTTTGGAAGATGTCTAAAAAAAGATGCCGAGAACACGCCCAGAAGGCTGTAGTCAATGTGTTGAATTACTACTTTTTCTTCTTTATTTTATAGAATTAAATAATGAGAATAAGGACTGATACGAAAGGTGGGCGTAGCTCAGATGCATTCATAGGGGACCAAGCTCGAGTACTCAATGGGGATTCCGCCGAAAACAAGCCGTTTGCGTGAAAAGCAATAGACACATTAATATCAAGAATTGAGATTGGAGACTCACCGTAATAGAAGGTTGAGCATCGGAGATGATGGATCAGGAGCCATAGCATAATAAGGATTACACTTACAGGAGTACAAATTCACCTTAATTAGAAACAATGGAGAAACCAAAAAAGGCAAGTGGAAAAGTGAATTTACTGATTTTGTTTGTGATTTCAGTTCATTGTTTAAATTGCGTTATACAGAAATCACGAGAAATCGCAACGCTACGACTTATTCGAATACGAGATTAGAAGTACCTCCATTTGGTAACAACTGAACCAGGCAATACTCGTCCTCTTGATTGTCCAACAGATGCTTTTCTAACGCCCTTGTAATCAAGTCGTTCATTCGATCTCCATTCTTCACCTTAACTCTGACATTTGTGTTTATGAACTATACAACGTGCCTGGACTTACGGCTAACCCTAGGATTAAAACTGTTACAACCTGTATCTAGCACCACAACATAACCTTAACAAGGGACACTAAATTCCTTAAAGTCCATACAGTTCGTGAATGGGCCATAGAACAAGCAAAACTTTTTCAAATCAAGATCAATAGGGCTATTTTTGTTAGCCTATACAAAGGAAAATTATGTTTTGGGCTGTAAATTTCCTACTGCTTAAGCCATTCCACTATACTGCACAGTTCTAATGATTCATTGTTGTGGACTTGGAAGGATCAGGCCAGTATAAATTGATTTCCTGATTTCATTCCAACTTTTCTATTACCCTTGTTCAGAAAAAAATTTTTAAAAAAGGTTTTTTTATTTGCTGTACATATTGCAGAAAACACCTGAGCTATGAAGGTACCCGGTTTCGCCCGCATTTGCGTGTTTTTTCACAACCAAACCATAGAAAGACATCTGATTTTATAGACTCGCGAGAAGCAGCACTTTGTTATGTAGCTTCTCAACTAAACACTACAGAAAATCCCACCTTGATTACACTTGTAATTCGCGCATCCGCCACCACTGGGTTGACACTCGTCATCGAGTCCGACACGGGCCAAGTGAAACGAGCCAGCGTCTCCCTGAGGTCCAGAAGACTGATACGATGAGGAGGAACATGTTGAAGCCTGTTGGGAGGATTAGTTCACGTTATGCATGCTCATTCCAGGTTTTTTCTTCTTGGTAACAAATAAAGCATCTGAACACTACTAAGTAACGAATTTAGTTCCTAGTCGCGAGGGAAGGTATCGTTTGGTCCCAATGACAGTCAGATTGGTGACACCCTACTGCCGCCCTGAACAATTTCATCTACGGGTGACACCCAATATACTAGATTTTTGCAAATTTGTGGCATATTATTCAGAAAGGCAAGGCGGTATTATGATGACCGTGAACCATACATGTGTGACACAGTGAATATTTTAAGAGGATTTAAGAGGAGGTGCGCATAATGGAGCTTCTAGTAACATTTTCATCACAAGTTCGCCAATACTTTTCCCTAATATTAGAAGAATGGTCTACGGTTAGCTGCTATAGAAAGTTGAAAGGTAAGAAGAGAAAGCGGGAGAACAAATAAGGAGTGAAAGTGAAACGAAAGGCTTCGAAATCAGTGAGGCCATATAACTTGTGTTGGAACGACGTTCAGCTAAAAGGATGTGTTGTAGCTCGCTGAAGAAACCAAAAACATAGTTATGTCGATGTACGCAAGTACCAGCCCGGACAATACCAACGCAACCGAGAGAGTTTATCATTGAAGAATGAAATGGATCTTCCCATAGCCTGGACACATTCGAACTTCCAGACCATTAAACAGAACCTATGAAGGACAGGGACGGTTAGGTTTCACCAGTTAGCTCATTATTTCAAAACCACAAGTTTCAGTTCTTTTTCCCCTTTTTTCGCGCCGGAATTTCGCATTGCGCTGAAACACTTCCCCAAGGGAACGCATTTGAGCCCCATCCCCGAAGGAAGCGAGGCTGCCCGAGTGAGGAGGGCAACAGCGATTGTATCAGCCTACTGTCGCTTGATGGATTTTTTTTCAAATCAAGTTGAGTAATGGATGAAACGGTGGTGAAGTGGAATGATGAGTCGCTGAACCCAAAAATCAAACGACCATTCCTAACAATTGAAACCCTGGTTTACGCCTACAACCCCTCCCACCACAGAACGAAATTTAACACGTTGACCAACAACGCGAGTTTTGGCACTTTTGGCCGCGTGGGACCGGGCGATTTTGTGGGCACGGCCGCCTTAGGTCGTTCAAGCAAATTTTGAGTGATAAAAACATAAATAATGATCAATACAAGGCCAGATCAATATATTGTAATGAGCACAACCTACTCGGAGGTACAGTAGCGGGAATTTCTATTGAAAGACATGGAATAACAATGAAAAAGTGATATTCTTTAGAACAAGCTGCAATGAACTTCAAAGGCAATTTTAAGTTGATTATTTTAATCAAAACACATATATTGTCATCTCTAAGGTACCGTATCTACTTCTACTACTATTTAAACCTTCACATTCATAGGAAGAAAAAGTAAACGAAAAATTTATTAGGCTGAAGATTTCGTATGGTTCAGAAATCCTCCTCTAAATTGAAGCATACGTGACCATTCTATGGACCACTATGTTTTTAGCTAGGTCAAGGTCTCCTCCATTCAATAATTACAAGAAACTTCTAGAAGAACCAGGCGTGCGCGAAAAAAATTAGTGTAATGGGTGCGCAGCGGCCTAGCAATGGCGCGGGATATAAGTCCCCGCGTTGTCGTCAAGTTTAAGTACAGACGACATAGGACGTCTTTCGCGTGAGAGCAAAAACACGCAGTACAACATGTATAAACCGCAAACCTCCAAATCAGCCACACATGACAAGCTACCCACCACCGGAGCAAGAACAGATATGATGTCGATAATTCATGCACAAAGTAATAAAAACCAACATCGCTCTGATGGTAGCCACGCTTCTGCTGCTCCGAAACGCTGCAACATGCTGACTCATCGCAATCCATACGCGAGTGCTCATAGCAGGCTCTCTAAAATGCAGATATAATGAGGGCACTACAACGACAAGCGATTGCAGAAAATCAGGTTCATCAAAAGAATGCGTCAAGCGAGACGAAAAGAGGGAGGGAGAAGGGGAGGGAGGTGTGGTAAAGTATCACATCAGAAAGTAAGTGTATGAACCACTGAGTGCAAACATTGGTCAGCATCGCTACAGCCGGCAATGGCCGCGAAGCAAGGCGGAATTCCTGGTGTAATGAAGGGAAATGCCAAATAGAAATTCACTGCATTTCATAAAACAAAAGTACGTGATACTTACAGAACATTCAGGCATGGTAGACGAAATAGAAGCTTCTAGTTCTTGAGTGGAATCGCCGCTGTATGCTCTCTTGTGCGGAAAGACATCCAGTGGCGAAAACTCACATCCTGAAATCCGAATATACTTGAACTGGCTACAGAAGGAAAATGCAAGTTTTTGAGGATGATTCATTTTTTTTCCTTGCCCAAAGATATACTACACTGCAGTCTTGATACATAGATGTGAACGGCTACGGAATTAAACAGCAATTCCTCTAGTCTTGATTTCTTAACACGCTGACGACATTATGACGCGCATGCGCGTCAGAGCTATGTCATTCATTATCATTGTGATTGCGCCGCTTCTCTCCGAATTCTTGTATCATTCTAACAGAAACACATCACGTCTAACATAAACCCACACGGCAGCCACGAGTGTGCAAATATTCTATTTGCCAAAAAATTCAATTTCCTTCCTAGTATTCCTTTCACTGTCGTAACTTAACATGGAAGAATGAAGCAGTTTGAAAACAAAGCGACATTAGGCTGATACAATCGCTGTCGCCCTCCTCACTCGGGCAGGCCTCGCTTCCTTCGGGGATGGCTCAACTGCGTTCCCCTTTGGGGGGAAGTGTTCTCAGGGGTGCGAAATTCCGGGAAAAAAGAAAAAGAACTGAAACTTGTGGTTTTGAAATAACGAGCTAACTGGTGAAACCTAACCGTCCCTGTCCTTCATAGGTTCTGTTTAGTAGTCTGGAAGTCTGGAATGTGTCCAGGCTATTTCATTCTCCGAAATTGTCCGGGCTGGTACTTGGTACATCGACATACTATGTTTTGGTTTCTACATGGCAGCTACAACACATCCTTTTAACTGAACGTCGTTCCAATACAAGTTATATGTCCTCACTGATTTCGAAGCCTTTCGTTTCACTTTCACTCCTTATTTGTTCTCCCGCTTTCTCTTCTTACCTTTCAACTTTCTATAGCAGCTAACCGTAGACCATTCTTCTAATATTAGGGAAAAGTATTGGCGAACTTGTGATGAAAATGTTACTAGAAGCTCCATTATGCGCACCTCCTCTTAAATCCTCTTAAAATATTCACTGTGTCACACATGTATGGTTCACGGTCATCATAAATACCGCCTTTCTGAATAATATGCCACAAATTTGCAAAAATCTAATATATTGGGTGTCACCCGTAGATGAAATTGTTCAGGGCGGCAGTAGGGTGTCACCAATCTGACTGTCATTGGGACCAAACGATACCTTCCCTCGCGACTAGGAACTAAATTCGTTACTTAGTAGTGTTCAGATGCTTTATTTGTTACCAAGAAGAAAAAACCTGGAATGAGCATGCATAACGTGACTAATCCTCCCAACAGGCTTCAACATGTTCCTCCTCATCGTATCAGTCTTCTGGACCTCAGGGAGACGCTGGCTCGTTTCACTTGGCCCGTGTCGGACTCGATGACGAGTGTCAACCCAGTGGTGGCGGATGCGCGAATTACAAGTGTATCAAGGTGGGTTCACTTCTTGTAGTTGTTTAAATTTGAAAGAGTACCTAACAAGTGCTGCCTTCTCGCCGAGTCTGATAAAACCTGATTTTTCTCCGTTTGTTGTGAAAAAACACGGCCAAATGATCGAAACTGGTACCTTCATAGCTCAGTGCTTTTCTGCAATATGTACAGCACTTAATTCTGAAGGTAATAGAAAAGTTGGACAATGAAATCAGGAAATCTATATTGGCCTGATCCTTCAAGTCCACAACAATGAATCATTAGAACTGTGCAGTATAGTGGAATGGCTTAAGCAGTAGGAAATTTACAGCCCAAAACATAATTTTCCTTTGCATAGGCTAACAAAATATAGCCCTATTGATCTTGATTCGAAAAAGTTTGCTGTCCACCTTGCCCATTCACGAACTGTATGGACTTTAAGGAATTTAGTGTCCCTTGTAAGGTTATGTTGTGGTGCTAGAGACAGGTTGTAACAGTTTTAATCCTAGGGTTAGCCGTGAAAGTCCAATCACGTTGTATAGTTCATAAACACAAATGTCAGAGTTAAGGTGAAGAATGGAGATCGAATGAACGACTTGATTACAAGGGCGTTAGAAAAGCATCTGTTGGACAATCAAGAGGACGAGTATTGCCTGGTTCAGTTGTTACCAAATGGAGGTACTTCACATCATATGCGAATAATAAAGTCGTAGCGTTGCAATTCTTCGTGAAATGAAAAAATATTTCGTTTACAACATTAAACAATGAACTGATAATCACAAACATAAACAGAAATTCACTTTTCCACCTTGTCTTTTGGGTTCCCATGTTTCTAATATAAGGTAATTGTACTTCCTGATAAGTGTAATCCTTATTATGCTATGGCTCCTGATCCATCATCTCCGATGCTCAACCTTCTATTACGGTGAGTCTCCAATCTCAATTCTTGATATTAATGTGTCTATTGCTTTTCACGCAAACGGCTTGTTTTCGGCGGAATCCCCATTGAGTACTCGAGTTTGGTCCCCTATGAATGCACCTGAGCTACGCCCACCTTTCGTATCAGTCCTTATTCTCATTATTTAATTCTATAAAATAAAGAAGAAAAAGTAGTAATTCAACACATTGACTACAGCCTTTTGGGCGTGTTTCTCGGCATCTTTTTTTGACATCTTCCAAAAGTAGCACTGCTCTTTTAAATTTTGTTACCAATGATGGTATAGCATTTCCTGGATCCGAAGACATAGACGGACAACTTTCTAGCACAAAAAATATCAATGCATGCGCGTCATACTGTCGTCAATGTGTTAATTAAGTGTCCAGGGTCATTCGGTATCATGTAATGTGATGGGCACTACTTTGGAGCGCTTACGTTGCATTTGTCGTCAGCTGGTAGTGGCACTTGGAGATGTGCTATCTTCCTTGTAGTGTAGTGGAGTAGGATATGGAGAATAAGGATTAGCAACTAAGCTCTTGAGCAACACAGCCATCACCTTTTAAGCTTTTCAATAGGAATCGATCTACTTAAAACCTGCGTCTATAAACTTTTGAATTTTTTTTTCAAAAGTTTGATAGTCTTGTTCCAGGAAACGCAAGGACAATGCGAAGGGTGACGGTACCTCACCTTACGTAGGGCCATCAACGAAAAAGCTGAATAAAATGAAGAGATCGAATCTTCTTAGGTGGAGCAGCGGTTATCTGTAATTGAGATGTTTCTTATCGCCTTGAGAGTACTATTATTTATTTCTATTTATAACCATAATTTCTATTCAGAGTTTAAAAGTATATGATTCTTCTTGTTAGATGTACAATCGAATTCGTCTGCAATGTTAATGCGTTTTTGTAAGCTTTCGTGGTTACAGTGGGAGTGTGGTTTGTGATTGGCTGTCGATGTTGTGCACCATTCCCAGGTCACTTACGTTGCAGCAAGGTAACACGCATGTAGCGTTGCAGTTGAGTTCGCTTGTTCATATTTGAGGGGGATGGTGGTATTTCCCGCTCTTGCTCCTCCAGTTTAGTCAGTGCTTTAAAATAAACCATAATCATATTAATAATTGTGATAGCAATAATGACAACAGTAAGTATGTGTTCCGTCTCATATTTTGTTTGTGTTATATTGAGGTTTACTGTGACCTCAGTTGTCTTTCTATACGTTCATTTTCTTCTTCTTTCTCTTCATCTTCCATTGTTTTGTATATGTTCAAATATTGTTCCTCATGTGCAAACATGTGTCATTCAGCGTATTGTGAGAACTTACATGGGTATTTACTAGTTGACTTTTCCAATTTTTTTTCCACTTCCTTATGGCTCTGCTGACCGTTTGTTTATGTAATATTTTTAACGAAATCTCCCCTCTGACAATGATGTAATCTTAGACAATCTATTATGTATAGTGTTTCGACAATGTGTTATTAATGTTCATTTGCTTCGCTTGCAATCGATTTGCTCAAAATTTAGCACACTATTTGTCTCAATCCCCCGTGTAATATGTGTATTTGAATTCATGAAATTCTGTTTTAAAGAGAAACGTAAAGTAAATATTCACTATTTAGTTAACTCTGCCAATAACAAATAAACACCCAGCACGCCGTTCTGTCGCATTGAAATGAAATGCCCTTTCGAATCCAACGTTGTGAATCTATGGTGAGAACTCAGAATAGGTAATCGCTTAGCAGGTGGATGAAACTGCTTTAGCTGCAACAAAAACGCTGACAAGGAACACTAGTGATATTCAGCTAGATTCCTCCTCGTTTCTCTCAGTTTCCTAGCGACTCAGCTGGCCACCATGGCGGGTGTTGTAATTTGATCCACGATAAGGAACGTAAGCTTAGGGGCGAGACAGACGCCGCGGCCAGTGTCCACTAAAACTAGTTCCGTAGGAGTAGGTCCTTGAAAATTCACACTTGGAGAGAAAACGAAGGCCCTAAAGAGCCCGCCGATCGCTCTAGCGTTTGCGGCCCTTCCCGGAACGCGCTGTTTGATGTAAGTTACCCGTAAGTAAGAATGATCAACATATATGAGTAAAAGAACTCTTACGTTATATCAATAATGTATGCTATACGAAGTTATTACGAGCAGTAAATCAAGTTGAGGCAGCGATTATTCGGGATTGTCTTTTAGAATCTGGTGAAACTCCAGTTGGGGGGGGCCACTCATATATCTTATCTACATATCTTATCAAAGTGACTATCTAATCAGAGCGGAGTTGCGGAAAGGCCCTCATATCTAATCACAGCATAGGGGAAGGCACTCATATCTTATCAAACGTAATCAGCGTACTGAGACGGTGTCCTACGATTGCTACGTCACACATTCATTTGACTGTTACCCTTGCCTACCATTCTATAGCGGAAATGGCTGCTGCCCTGCTGACACTTCGCACTTTCACGATGTTCACCACGTGGCCTGAGCTGAAGGCGAAGTCAAAGGAGGAATTTGACGACTGGTTGGCCGAATTAGTGCGAGTGGTATCCTATCTAATCGCACACACAGAGCCTGTGCTCTGAATGTTGATAAGATATGAGGGCCTTTCCGCAACTTCGCTCTGATTAGATAGTCACTTTGATAAGATATGTAGATAAGATATATGAGTGGCCCCCCCCAACTGGATTTTCACCAAATACTGAATCTTGGCACACAATGTTCACATTTCAAATGTAATCCAGCATCATGCACCTTTGAAGACTCGTTTTGATTTCAATCTTTTTTCCGCTATTCAATGCAAACTGACTTGAAGAAAGTATGGCCCATTCGTTGAAAGTTCGCTGCTTAAGCAGAAGCCCTAAAAACAATCATTGGAGGAGAAACGGAACACGGGATGATTTTTCAGATGAGTAGTAGTTCAGAAGAATTTTGATATTTCCCCAAAAGCGTCAGTCTTTAGTTTCTAATTAACTTGAGAAAGTGCAGGAGGTAGTTCACGACAATTCTTTTGATTCACAAATGTTTTTCGAACTGTTACCAGTCTATGCCCACCTATCAACAAAGTTAAAACTCTTGAAATTGAAGAGCCTGCTTTATCTGCAAGTGTTTTCTGATCTTGTTTTCTGTTTCAAAAATACTTTAAAAGGAAGCCAATTAAGCCAGCAAATATAGGACCTTTTACCTTGTCGAGTGCGAGTGCTTTCTTGTTGCATTGTGTGCGACTCAAAAGAAGGCGGCAGCTGGTGGTTACAAACTCACTGTTTTTCCGCTGCGCGATGGAATGGCTGGAAATGCTGCCAGCTAGCGTTCTTGAGTCTCCGAAAGTGTCCATATTTCTTGTGAAAGATTGAAGAAGTTTGACCTTCTTATCATTATGGGTATTCCAGATTCATAGTCGTGCGACTGTTCTAGTAGAGCCTATCCCGTAAAGCGCGGCCTATACATTCGCTGGAGATTCGATAGAATGCATGCTCTAGGTGCATGTGCTTTTCTCCTGCGACGTCAATGAAATGGTGTCTACTGCGTGGATGGACCAATTATGCGGTTGCGGTGGCTGGTACGCTGGTTTTGCTGGCTGATTTATCTCAGCGGTTGTCGAGTGCCGATCAGTGCTGTCTCCTTCCATAAATTGGAGGTCGTCTTCACCACTTTCGATAGCTGGATGTCTCACTTATTTCTTGTTTAACACCACATCTGCTTTTGCCTTTTAAGGTCCAGCGGACACAGTACGTTCTTCCTCACATAGACTATACATTCAGGCGCCTCATGCTATTGAGATACACACTTTTCCCTCTTTGAACCACCATTGAACCGGTCTTTGACATGAATACACAGGGATCATTTGTCCCTGGTTACATTACACACTTACTAAGCGGTTTATCCGTGGCACTCCTAGCTTACCGATTCCACGTGGGATGTCGGTATACCCGTGTTTCGAAGTCTCGGTAAGCCCCTATGACCCCAAGTGTGGCGAGCGGGCACCATAGCCGACTGGTGCAGGTCTGTGTTGCGTTCAACCTCTGGTATAGTGTGTTTTGTAGCCTCGCAAGCATACTGATCGTGTGTACTGTGATTCAGCTTGAGTGCCTTTCCGTGCAGCGGGAATGCAGCCTGGTCCAATAGGTTCAAAAGTGGTATAGTGGCACTCTGGAGTATCCTTCTTTTAAGCGATTGAGCTAATAGTATGAACCTCCTGTCCGACAGGATTCTTGCTATCTTTTCCATTGTTTTCCTTTTTGTAGTTTTTTTTTCTTCTGCCCGTTTTAGAAAATTCTGAATATTTTTTTCATCTCAGCGAGCCCAGGTCGAGGTATTTGTTCTACATGCTCTTTACATATTAAATTTTCACTAGAGCTCTTATATGGAAAACTGAATTTTCTCAAAACTGAGTTGTTCTTTTCCCGTTATGGCTGGTGTTTTTTTTTCTGAAGGTTCATAGTATGACCTGCGGCTCTAGCTTTTCGTTGTAGCGCGCCTTTCGAGCGCATTCAATAAATAAATAAATAAATAATTAGCAGTAGAGCTCTGAAAAAAGTTGATAACGAACGAAGCTATGAACGTTTGAATGACGAGTACTCACGCGTTCTCCAAAATCGGACCACAGACCCATGAAAAACGGAACAGCGTGAGAGGCAAACCATGTTCACTACAAATTTATTAGTGTTGAATGGGAGAGAAAAACTGAAAGAAATTTTCGAGAAATTCACTTCCACTAGAAATTTGCGAGTATGACCAAATTCCAAGTAAATTTCATTTTATTGTAAAAAGCTTACAATTCAACAAAACAATCGACCGCATGATAGAAAACGTTGAGCAGATTCAATACTTTCTTGATAACCTTCTGGAGTTGTTAAAACCTCGACAAGGTCTAAGTGTGGAATCAATCAATGATTGCACTGTCTATTAGAACAACCTCAACTTTTCAAATTTGACATGTTTCTCATACATGCAGTCCATATCTCGAAGTCTGATTGGGCGTGTCACCGGAAATGACGTGGCAGCCACCGCACTTGATAGATAGTTGCGTGGATAAGCTGCTTCGGCCCTGTGTTGCTGATTCCCAGCAAAGTACAATATGCTGGAGGCGGTTCATCTGCGCGACTTCTGTGAGATAAGCAAACCAGCCCTTTTGGCGTTTCTGCTGGGTCCCCGAGGTCCTTCTGGCAAAGCTGCTGGACCAGCTGCACCACTTGCGTCAGTACTCTCCTATCGTACCAACCGAGTTGAAGTAAACCGTCGACCGTTGGGGACCCCATCCCCTCCCCAACATTCAGCATACGGTCCCAGCAGAAACGCCAAAAGGGCTGGTTTGCTTACCTCGACTTCTATCAAGTGCTGTGCCCAACACGTCATTTCCGGTGACACGCCCAATCAGACTTCGAGATATGAACTATACTCCTGGTTTTTTTTCTGCCGACGGTTTTTCCACCGTCTTCCACAGCATTTCTTTCATGAGGCTCATGTCATGTGACTGAACTCGTCCCTCCCTTTGGCATGCCATGCTGGCGAAAACCACTCCTCCACAGCAGAAATGTGATGCTTTGGGTCGCTCGATTGCTAGAAGACGAAGACATTAGCGTGCATTTACCATATGTGTGGATATGACACTCTTTCCAGAATCTATCTAGATTCTCATTCAAGCTCAAGATGTGGGATATTGAGCGCAGAGGCAACACTTTCAGTCATTTAGCGCCCTGAAATGAAGTGGAGATCCTGGACTCCGGGAAGAATATTCACTCGAAGCGCGGGATTACAATTGGACTGGGTTTATGGTGGAAGTGGGGGTGCTAAATTATGCCCCAGCGGCGAGGAAAGCAAAGAAATCCGTCGAGAACGCGCAAAATGGAACCTCGTATTCTAAACCAATGGACCTCGGACAATAGACGAGCTAAGCAATCGTCAATGCTAAAACCATTGCCCCATTCATCAATTACAACAAAGGCATTGATGGCAACGGTTCCATGGCGAATTACAGAATGCGCACTCGTAAGCGGAATTACCATAAAATGATAATTGCGAAGGACCTGCGTGGTGGGGGGGAGGGGAGCACAGGTAGTGCGGACTCATAAGCAGACTAGTACGCCTGCCAACTAAGCAACCTTTATCTGCAAATGCTGTTCGCTTCATCGGCCCATGCTTCCGCTGGTGTATGTACTCTGCTCACGCTGCACACTTCAACTATAGTGGTTTAAGTTCGAGTTCGTGGCGTTTCCCTGGGAGCGAGTGTAGAAACTTGTCTTCCTGTGCAATGATCAGGCTGCATAAGTGGGATTATATGCGCATCACATACAAGCCTTTACTTCTCGGGATGAAAGTCGAGTACATGGCGCAATCCTGGATGAAACTCTTTCAGAGCTTGGAAACAGCTTTTGTAGATCTCGACTAGCTGAGTTTAATGGTCTTTTCAAACTCGGAAAAACTCAACAGGTAAACCAACTTTATGACTGAGTAAAGAAAAAAAAACGCGAAATCACGTTTTCCGTGTGGATTTTTCAAGTTTTTTTTTGGCGAGTACCATGATGCTGTAGTTAGTTCATGAAAAAATTTAAAAAAAATCTCGACCACTAGTCAATCTGTATTTATGGTCATTGTCTGGTACACATCCCTTGATGGCTAGGAATTCAGGTCAAAGCTCAAAACTACTTACAGTAGCTTCAACAGGGTTGTCGGTCTCCGCTACAGCGTGTTTCACCTGTCCTAAATGATTATCACCTTTCCCGGAACTTAATTTTCATAGATGCACATAATCTAGACGATAAATTGAATTCGAAAACAAGGTCGCCTCCTTTCAACCCACACTCCGCCACGTACAGGAAAAAGCCCATCGGAAAAATTTCTGAGTGTTAGAGACGATTTGTGGACGCTCATGGTGATAACCGCTGGTCACATTTGAAACAAAAAAAGATAAAATATATATGAGGCCATACTCTCTTATGATAACATTTAGTTTTCGTATGACTTAAGCATGGTTGATTGGTGGTTGTGATTATTTCATATGTATTTCATATACATATTGTATTGGTAGATTCTGGATGACTCATCTTGTAAGCTGAGCTTAACGTTATCTGTTAGCTGATCTGTACTGTAGAATGTAATCATAGCTATTGTCCCGCCCATAATCCATCGTATATAAGGACGGTGGATCGCTCTGAGATTCAGTCGGTTTCTTCTTGTGCTCTGCTTCTACATATACGCCCAATAAACTTCTATCGCGTCAGGAGGTCCACGCCTACGAACCACCGATATATGGTGCATCGGACCTAAGCGAACGAAGCCGAGGATCGATCAAGGAATCGCAGCAGAGGATCGGTCAAGGAGTGGTTGAGGAACAAACCCACTGGAACGCGCTTCTATCGGACGAGTGCGAGAAACAAAGGAAGTGAGTACAGACACGATCTCTCGCACACAGTCTTGTCCGTGCATGCTGATAGTCCGCGTACTGCACTACTAACAGAGTGAACGCATCACTAACGGAGTGAAGTGACGCACTTATACGACTAACATGGCTACTACACTGTCCACTAGGCAGGGACTACTAACAAAAGCGCTGAATAGGCTCAAATAGTGCATTGGAGGCTAACAAGGATTGGGCACAAGCAATTCTACAACCTCCATCGGACGAGCACGAGCGAAGGATCTATATGAGGACGGAGCGGGCGCAGATCCGAACGGTGAAGGCCATTCTGGAAGCGGAAACGCTCAGTGTTGACGACGCGTTGGGACGCTACAGTAGTGCGGCTGACAGTTTGGCAGCTGATACTCCGTCGTTGGAGGACATCCTCAGAAAGGTCAATTCCAACGTCGAAACGGCCGTAGCTGTTCTGGATTATGGACATACAATGCTGACCTGCGCCCTGAAGCGCCGCCTAGAGGAGCTCGATGAAATGGAAACTCACACAAGCTTCTCAGAAGCCCCTCAGACAAATTTGGCGCCGATTCCTATTCCCAAGTTCAGCGGACGCATCTGGGAATGGGACACCTTCTGGGGAGCTTTCCAGCACTCTGTGGATTCTCGAGAAATAGACGATTTGTACAAGATGAATTACCTCCTTGACGCACTTCAAGGCGAGGCTAAAGAAACCGTCAAGCAGTTCGAGGTGTCTGGTCGCACCTATCCATTAGTCGTCGCCCATTTGAAGGAAAAATACGGAAATACACAGGCTCTTGTAGACCACATGATACGCAGACTACAAAAAGCGCGAGCACAAAGCGAACGGTTGGAACACCAAGAGAAACTCTTGGAGGAGTTGTCGTCGATCGTATCGCAGCTTCAACTAAAAGGAGAGAACGTTGACAATTGTTTTTTGCAAGATCAACTCCTAGGAAAGTTTACAGAAGGAATACAACGTCACGTGTTACGAACTAAGGAACAGCGGTCACCAAACGACAACTGGGACACCAATATGCTTCTCAGCTGTGCGAAAGAATATATCCGGACGGAACTCAAGATCGTAACCCGAGTTGGGAAAAGGCGAGAGCAGCAGCCGGTACAAGAGCCAGCAGGAGACAGGAGGTATCCCCGGACAGGGCGGAAAATCGCCTCAGCTTCGGAACGTCAACACTCCTGCTTCTACTGCGGTAAAGGCGATCATGCAGCAAAGGACTGCACCGAAGTGGCTACACGAGAAGAAAGAATGTCCTTTATGCGGAAACGAAACCTGTGTCTCAACTGTGGCTCTGCAGAACATTGGGCAGGGCAATGCAAAGGAGGAGCATGCAGAATATGTAACAACCACGGCCATCACACCTCCCTTTGCCAACAACTCCCTTCGCGCGAAGAAACCAATCTGGCAGCCTCAACGAATCCAAAAAGCCGCACCAAACATTCGAATAGAGCCACTCCCAAGCGGCCTGTTCAGAAATCACTGAATTCATCCAAAATGAACACTGTGGTATCAGAGCCCCAACCATCCGATGAGGTGCCAACCACAGCTGCCTTCGTCAACCTTCAGCGAAGCATAGCTGACGTCCACATTCTCGTGGGACAAGCGCACGTCCTGAACCCAAAGGATCAAGCTCTGGAAGCTATTCATGTACTGCTCGACACTGGGGCCGATCGCTCATTCATCTGTACTGAGCTGGCGGATCGCTTGCAGTTGCGAGATATCAGTTCAACCAAGTTGACTATCAACACATTCGGCTCTAAGCAGCCTCTGCAGCAAACATGCGGAATAACCCAGGTGCAAATGTGGGATTCCTACGGGAAATCTCACAGAATAACGGTTACGAAAATAGGGACTGTCACAGAGCCAATACTAAGACGCAGCCTCAGCGAAGAGGACAGACGATTTTTCTGCGTGACAACAATATCTGCCTTTCTATACATGCGGATATCATGGAACTCAAACCTCAAGTGCTACTGGGATGTGCGGACCTGTACGCATTTCTTGAAGGAGGCTTCGCGAACCAGAAGACGCTGCCTTCGGGACTGACACTCATTCCTTCGAAACTAGGATATCTCGTGTCTGGATATGAAACACCTCCAGAAACGCATCCTATGGAACAGCCACACTCCGACGCAGGAGTCAAAACGAGCACGACAGGTTCCATTGAAGACGAACAGGACTGGGAACAGTTCTGCACATTTGAGTCGACAGGGGTTCATGAATTTATTGGGCCAAATGTCGAAGAACGCAAGAACTTGGACAGGCAAGTCTGGAAGACGTTTGAGCAGACTATCGAGAAAAGACAGGATGGCTACTATGTCAGGCTTCCTTGGAAAGGCAATGCCAGAGCACTCCCAGACAATAAAGCAATTGCTATACGAAGACTTCAGGCTACGGTTACGAAGCTCGCCAAAGAACCTGCTGTTTTACAACAGTATCACGATACGATCGTGAGTCAGCACCAGCAAGGTATCATTGAGGAAGTGGACGAGGACAGCCACACAGAAGGACCAATTGTGCACTACCTCGCTCACCATGCTGTTCTCACCCCTCAGAAGGAGACCTTAGATTGACCACTAAACTTAGAGTGGTTTTTGACGCCTCTGCTCATCTGAAAGGAGAACCATCCCTTAACGATGTACTCCATCCAGGACCGGTTATACTGCCGAAAATCTGCGACATTCTGCTTCGCTTTCGACTTGGACGCTTCGCGATTATTAGTGATGTCGAGAAAGCATTCTTGCAAGTCCACTTGCATTGTGAAGACAGGGACGCCACAAGATTCATCTGGCTACGCGATATCAACCAACCGCTGACTCCAGACAATACGGTCATCTACAGGTTCACGCGGGTGACTTTTGGACTCAGTTGTTCACCGTTTCTCTTGGCTGGCACAATTAAGCATCATCTTGACACATGCTTGGTGAATCCCAAACTGGCAAAAGAAGTAGCGAGCAACACCTATGTGGACAATATCATTGTGACGACGTCATCCGAAGAAGAGGCTTTGCAGTTCTACACGGATTCAAAGCAGCTGTTCAACGATCTTCGAATGAATCTACGAGAGTTTCGTTCAAACGATGCTACCCTCAATGCACGTATCGCACCAGCAGACCTAAGCACTAACACATTTCAAAAGGTCCTTGGTATACAGTGGCATTCCGGAACCGATGAGCTTCTTCTAACGTGCCACTATCGGCCCACCTCTGGAAAGTTAACAAAAAGATCTATCTCGGAACAAGTAGCCTCTATCTATGACCCATTAGGACTGCTTACACCGCTCACGCTCCGAGGGAAGCACTTTCTACAGCAGCTTTGGAAACTCGGCTACGAGTGGGACACTCCGCTGTCAGTGGAACACCAGCAAGAATGGCAGAACATTGTAGAAGGAGCAGATGGCTTCGAGATCGCACTTCCGAGAGAAAGTTGCTCACATCGACACTCATGTGGGCCTTGTTCTTTTTGCTGACGCTAGTTCGCACGGAATGGCAACCTGCGCATACCTCGTCTCTGGATCAGGCAGCCACATTGTAGCTGGGAAGTCCAAACTTCCATCCATCAAGGACAAGCCGACTATTCCGAAATTGGAGCTTAACGCTCTTACCATGGCGATGAGGCTAGCATATTCAATTTATGGGGCAATCAGGCATCGAGTCCAAATTGAACAAGTATGCGTTTTCTCCGACTCAGAAATAGCTCTCAGCTGGATCAAAACACCGACTTTGGAGCAATCGGTCGGCGTTCTTGTGAGGAACAGAGTTGCTGAAATAAGAAGAATTTGTGATGAGCTCTGCACCACGGTTCTGTTCGGATACGTGAGTACAACCGACAACCCATCAGACTGCGGAACAAGAGGGCTAACTAAGACAGAGTTCGAAGGACACATGTGGTGGCAAGGACCAGAGTTCCTAAAACAACCATCGTACTGGTCAAAAGAATGTCGAATGTTCGCCTTACCAGTTGAACAATCATGCTCGGTCACAACAGTTACAAGGTCCTCATCGGAACTCCTGGATTGGACTCGACACAATCATCTGCCGTCCGTGAAGAGAACTTTGGCGTATGTACTGCGCTTCATCCATCGACTCTCGCTGAAGGTGAATGCGGAGCTGAGAAAACGACTCGAGGCAAGCATTCCAGAACTGCGCCGGATGTCAAGTGATGCGTACATAACGGCCGAAGAGAATGAGATGGCTCAACGAGTGCTCATTCGCCATCACCAAACCACTTGTTTCACGGAAGAACAGCTGAAGGCACTGAAACAACTTAGCGTACGACGAGATGAATTTGGAATTCTACGATGTCACGGGCGATTAGGAAACGCACATATAGCTTTCGACACGAAGCATCCAATGTTGATTGCCTCCAAGACGAACCTTGCGAGAGCAATCGTAAAGGATGCGCATCTTCCTTACCACTGCAGCACAGCGCAGACGATTGCCAATGTCAGACAACGCTTCTGGATACCGAAATTGCGTCAACTGGTGAAACAGGTCCTACGAGTGTGCGTCCCTTGCCAAAGACTGAACAGCCTTCCGTTCAAATATCCCGAAATGGAAGACCTGCCAGAGCGGCGTGTACAGCGAACCCGCCCTTTCAATCACGTAGGAATAGACTATTTTGGTCCAATCATAGCCAAGCAAAATGATGCGCAGACCAAAGTCTATGGAATAATCATCACATGTATGGTCACGCGTCTGGTACACCTGGAGCTCGTTCCAGACATGTCAACGAATCAGCTGCTGAATGCACTGCGTAGGTTCTTCGCGAGAAGAGGGGTTCCTACAAGCATCACTTCGGACAACGGCCCATCGTTTCTGTTAGGCGAACAGATACTCCGCGATGCTGTCCTTCCTTTGATGAATGATACCACAGTTGCAAGTGCAATGGCAGAGAAGGGAATTGCTTGGAAGACAATTACACCGTACGCTCCGTGGCAGGGAGCTTTTTATGAACGCTTGATCAAGTCTGTGAAGCATTCTCTATACAAAGTCATGCAACGTGAAGTGGTGTCTGTGGAAACACTGGAGACACTCTTAGTCGAAGTGGAAGGAACCCTCAATAACCGACCTTTGACGTATCAGGAAGAAAAGTGGGAGGACACCCCAATTCTCCGACCAATAGATTTCATTCAAAGGGATATGGTTGTATCCTATCCATTCGAATCTATCCAAGATAAGTCTGAAGATGACACTTACCACCCTCCGGACGAAGAAATTCAATTGAGGACGCGCAAACAAGCTGAAAAAGCTCTCAACTCAAGCCATCAATTGACAGAACGATTCTGGAAGGTGTGGAGTCAACAGTACCTCAGCAGTCTGCGGGAAGTACATAAGACGTCTATGGAACAATAAACGGAGCTCAGCCATACACCCTTCACCTGGTCAGGTTGTGTTGATCTCAGACCCTGCTCTTCCAAGAAATTCGTGGAAGCTAGGAAGAATCATTAGCATACCTAGCTCTAACAGCGAGAAGATCAGAGAAGTGCAATTGAAGTTACCAAGCGGACACATCGTTAGAAGACCAGTCAATCTTCTCGTTCCACTTGAGTTGGAAGATAGCGAAAACGAGCCTCCGCCGTTCGTCACGGAGCCAGAAACTCCAGGCGAACCAGAATCAGCACCTCGATATGAGCTACGACCGCGAAAACGGGTGAACTACAATGAAACTACGACTCATTGCTCGACTGTCCAGTCCTCGACTATGGTGAATGCTCCAGCAAAGGTTCTGCTAGCTTGCGTCACAGCCCTTATGCTGGCTACAAACGTTGCATCGGCTGCCAAGGTAGTTGGGCATATGTCCTGCATCCCAGGAGGAGTGGCAATTACTACTAACGACGTCGAGCGGTATGAACTCTGTGTGGAAGGCAACTGTCACGTAAAAGACAATCCCCACGGAAAGGAAACGATACACTTTCCACCAGAAGTACTTCTACACGAACACCATGTCCAGTTGAAACTTTTTAAAGGACAAAGCCTCAGCCTTCTGGAAGCCTCCTGCTCACCTGCCTCGTTTTGCGAAAATATCCGTTGTTGGATTTGCACCGCTAACATCTTCAACCCGGAGTGTTCCCCACGAGCGGCAATCACGGCGATCGCCTTCATCATATACATTGGGATCGCAGTTGTGTATGTACTGTGCTTCGTACCCGTAGTGATCGGCAAACCGTGCCGTCTCTTCGGTAGAGGAATGTGCAACTTCATCAAGTTCACTGCACGCGTAGTGTGGCTACTCTGCCGCAAATTACTATTCCACCGAAGACAACTGGCTCGAAGATACGATGTACAGGAATTCTTGAACACGCCTCTTCTAGCCGTCATTTCTGTCATCACCTTTTCTTCGCTTACGTTGTCTTGTCAGGATATCGACGTTTTCTTCTACCACGACTCCATCTGCACTTTCGCTCCAAGTGGGGTCAAGCGATGCACTCTCGAAACTACGGAAATCATCAAACTCAATACCTTCAATCAAGAAGCGTGCATCCGGCTCACCAACCGTCAAGCAATGGAAAAGGAGATACGAATCCAATGGAGAGGACTCCGCCTTACATGCGTCAAAGAGACAATCGTATTTACTCGGAATACTCGCCAGAAGGTGGTAGACTCTAAGCGATGCGCTCACGTGGGGTCATGCGTTGATGATAAATGCGCATCCATCAACACGTCCTCACTTCTTCCGGAACTTGTCCAAGGTAACCAATTTCCTGGTATGACCATGTGCGTGGAAAGCTGTGGAGGTATCGGATGTGGATGCCTTGCTTTGAGTAGCGGATGCCTTTTCTATAGGATCTTCCACGTGCCTCAAGACGAGAAGATTTACGAAATTTTCAAGTGTTCTCAATGGAAAGAAGAAGTCGAGTTAGAGATCACGACCATCTCCAAGCGCACCAGGACGACCAATAAGCGGCTGATAAGAGTTCAACCGACTGTACCGATCAATTACAACAAGATGCGTATCACCCTTACCAGCCTCTCCTTTCCGCCCACTCCGATGTTAGCGTCATCTTTCATCTCCGACGGTTCTCGAATGGCTCTTTGGAATCACAAGGAAATACCACACTTCCTTTGTGTGACTCAGAAGAACAAGCTAGGTTGCTCAACTGCACCGTCACCACAAATTGTAAATGCGAACCGGCAGAGAACAAAGTGACCTGTGTATGCACCGATTTCTACTTCACAAGCGTCTTTTCAAAAGAAATCGAAAATCGCTTTCCAATACGGCGCCCTTGGATAACATTTGCGACAGCAAAGGACGATGCATCCGCAGTCGTGGCTTGGATTCCCTCATTTACCACAACGGAACTCTTAATACATCTGAAGGAAGAATTTGACAACACCATAAAGATGGTAACGGACTCCATCTGCACTGTTCCCAATTCCATCGCGAAAGGATGCTATCATTGTCCGCAGGGAGCGACCGCAGAAGTAACGTGTACAACAAATGGCAATGCTACCATGGCTACGGTAGTATGCGAGGAGCAGTCCTTCACTATTCCGTGTCAAGGAACAGGATCGACGTCAACTTTGCGGTTCACTCACTCGTCAGCGAGAGTGATGAAAAATTGCACGGTTTCATGTGGCACCGCTGAAACAACCTTCGAAATCACCGGGGTTCTTCAGTGGGTCCGGACGATCTACGGATCAGCAACGAAAGTCATCAACAGTGAAAGCAACGTGTATGATGAGCTGATATTTCCAGATTTTGGACACATTTTCGACGTGATCCTCCACTGGTATAAGACCGTCATCATCGTCCTCATCATACTTGCACTCGCACTGATACTTGGATACATACTCCTGTGGTCCTGCGGGTGCACCATCATAGGCTTGATAGGACGCATGATGCTGAAGGTTGCCTGGGGATTTGTATTCATAATACTCCTTGTGATAAGATCTGCATGGAAAATGGCATTCATGAGGTTTCGGAAACCTAACAAAGGACTGGATAAACTCCTTTGAGATCTCATCTACATCTACGCGGAGATTTTACCTGTCGCATGGAGTTATCTACCAATTTCCGTTTCTTACTTTAGTTTCGCATATTTAGCCATGGACAAGCCAAAGAAGACGCCATCTACCACTGCTGAGACGAATACCACTGCCACTGCACCATCTGTACCGGGAGCAACACCGCAATCCAAACCGAGAGTACCGCCGAAACGGCCAACTCCCGCAGCGAAGCCAGCGGCGACGGCTGGGGTCGAACCCACCTCCACGCCCAAGCGCAAAAGGGACACGTCGTCGTCGTCCTCGTCTTCATCATCGTCGTCATCGGACGAAAGAGGTCTTCCTCCTAAGAAGGGTCGCGCTTCTGGAACAATGCTGAAGGAACTTCTTCAACAAGGAAGTCGGATTTTGCGTTTAGCCGCATGCAAAGTCGACCAGCTAGCTCCTGCCGTTACCGTCACTTCATCAGAAGAAAGCATGCAGTACCTTAAGCGTTTCGAACAGTTGCTGCAGACTCATCACGTACGGAGCGAAACTGCACAAAAATCAATCGAAGCTAAAATCGACACGCTGATGCTGAAGGTGGACACGATCACGAATCGCCTTGATCGAGTAGAGCAAATGATGAAGGGAACCGCTACTGCTTCTGCATTGAAGGAACAGTCGTCGGTGGAGCAAACTCGATGGAGAGAGCTTCAGATAGAGATTCAAGGACTGCAAGCTAAAGTAGACGCACTGAACCTCCCGCAGCTTCAAAGAGACATGGACGAACTGAAGGCAAGTCTCAAGGAGCTGAATTCCCAAAATGTTGTCGATGTGGACTCGCAACCAAATGCCGCGAGGGAGCCCTCCTCCGAGATGGAGAGGGTTCTGCGACAGATGGGTGAGACTGAACGAGAGCTCAAAGAGGTCAGGGATGCGATGCTTGAAGTGAACCAGTCAATCGAAAGAGAACGGCGGGAATGCAAAGGAAGGAGCGGCTCAACAAGGACGATCGATGATCTAAAACAAAGGAGATCACGCCTTCAAGCAAGGGAGGATCGGGTCGAGCGAGAGATGAGGGACTTGGAGCGCCGACTTGAGAGGGAAGAGGCCCTGCGCAGCCTCAGTCACTCGAGAACACGTGAGCATTCCGAAGAAGCCAGAAGAAGTTGTGATTCTCGCAGCACCGGGAGAGACCAGGACGCACGCCGAGGACAGGAGAAACGACGCAGTTCGACAAGATCGACGGACCACCAGCACAGACGGCCCAAGTGAAATGCCTCGTACAACAGTGGTCGAACCTACTCGTCTCGGCCGGGAGTATAGAGAATACTCTCTATGATAACATTTAGTTTTCGTATGACTTAAGCATGGTTGATTGGTGGTTGTGATTATTTCATATGTATTTCATATACATATTGTATTGGTAGATTCTGGATGACTCATCTTGTAAGCTGAGCTTAACGTTATCTGTTAGCTGATCTGTACTGTAGAATGTAATCATAGCTATTGTCCCGCCCATAATCCATCGTATATAAGGACGGTGGATCGCTCTGAGATTCAGTCGGTTTCTTCTTGTGCTCTGCTTCTACATATACGCCCAATAAACTTCTATCGCGTCAGGAGGTCCACGCCTACGAACCACCGATATAAAATAAAAGCAAAAATGGGCAAAAGTGTTTCAGGACGTTTTCTAACCTAATGTTACACTTGCCTCCATTCATGCTTGGTTGCGATTTACTTCTGCCTTGGGACTATTCTACTCAGTATATTTCTCAATTTACGAAGATAAATAAAAAAGACGCTGGAACCGCTTAGGTCATCCCTCACTTCTTCACTGGGTCGTGCGGAAATTGTAGCAGCTTTTTACGGGCTTATGGCTGTTAGATTTGTTGCTGATTAGTTCCGAAGGTATGATGTAGTCTGACTGCGCACAATCAGTTGTACATCAGTTGATGGTGTACAACACTTGTGTATTTGCTTCACTATGGAGCTTACACGTGAGCAAAAAGATTGCTCATGCTACATGAGTGCAAGTTGAGCTCGAAACCGAATGCTTCTGCATCTGCTCGTAGAATCAATGAAGCCTGGGATGAAGGCACGGTTGCAGAGAGGACTGTTCGAGAGCGTTTGTTGATTAATCACCTGTTGTTGTTTTGTTTGGTTTTGTTAATAAAATTATGTATGAAACGAAACGGCGGATAAATTACTTTGTCAGAGAAGGGACATGCCGGCCTCGAGAGATCAGCTGTAGATCAGCTGGTCTGAGCGGTGCATATCGAAAAGGAGGTGATTGGGGTTGATCGCGGGGGTCATAAGAGGTCCACCTTCACTAGAGGGAAATGGTTTGCGTAGGAAGGTCCCAATAGAAGGTGTCCTGATGCCAAGGTCAGTGTTCCAGAGTTGCTGTAGTTTCGGAGCCCCCGTGCTTCTGACGTTTCAATGTTTCACCTGCAGTGTTCCAGCATTCCAGCGTGCCTTACAAGGGGGTCTTTCAGGACATGGAGCGTTTTTTAAAATGGTTTCTGAATGTTGTAGAGGCTCATGTGAGGAACACAGAACCATGGTCCATTTTTCCTGAACGCCCCCAGGAATGTCAAAACAGCGGGAAAGAAATGGTCCAAAGTTCGATCCTCCGTGATGACAAATTTTTGCAATTTATGTTGGCGCCTCCAAATTGCCGCAAAACACGACAATGACATCTATTCTCGACGATGGCGCCATTTGGCGGCAATCTGGGGGCGCCAAACTATATTGCAAAAATTATTCATCACCGGGGAACGAACTCTAGATTTCTGTATTATGGTTCAGTGTTTCTCGCATGAGCCCTTACGACATGCAACCATTTCGAAAAAGTGCTCCATGAAGCGCTCTGAATGATCTCCATTGTTGGTGGCATTGTTGGGTGGAGCTGTAGTAGTCCGTGAGAGAGAGGGCCTAGGCTCCGTATAGATACCCTCACTGGCCAAATAAAGGGAGCTTAAAGGAATCCTTGCGGAAAATTCTTGCATTCTTTCTTGACATGAATGTGTCAGTTGTGATCACTGGAAACAGCACACAAAGTTTCACGCATGAAGATTCGGTTTCCGAAGAGAAACAAACGTACAAAAACTACACTCTATGGACAATCGAAGGTAATTCGGGCGGAGCCAAAGGCGAGGCATGGAAAGAAGTTGGCCTTTGGCCGGCTACGTATCAGGCGACGCAATGAGAGAATCGGGTTAAAGCGCGCGATTTCGGAGAGTGGAGACAAATCGATCGATGGAATAGGATGGAGTAGAAGTGTAAGATGTGAATGCAACGAAGCAGAAGGCCAGAAAGAGCTTCTAGTGAATGCACTCCAAGAACCAAGTTTGAGCATCCCCGTCGCCAGCATTTGTGAAAGACGTCCGTGGGCACTTTGAACGCGTAGCAGCCCTTTCGATTTTTCGAATTTTTTACCAAAACAAAAGCAATATTTCTGTTCTTTTCATTCTTATCGTGGATAATGAGTCTCAAGCCAGTGATTTATGGCTGAAATAAAATCATGATTTTTCCGTGAAGGATTCCTTTAAAGGGCTCGTCTATGATTGCCCTACCAGGAAGCCTTTCATGCTGCCAAGCTTGCCATTTCGAGTTTACGGCTCCAATATGAGCGAAATGGTGTCAGCATTGAAATATGGACCGATATTCATGATAGGACGTCAGCATACATATAACGAAGAGTGGGGCTGCTTGTGTCACACCTTTTCCACCAGTTTTTTAATCAAAGTCTATTTGTAAGGGTTACTGACGGTCCTAATCATGAATATGGTACTAATTATTCATGCTAACTCCATTTTGCGCGAATTTTGGAACGTCAACTCGAAATGCAAAAATTTGTCACCACGAGGAATCGAACTAGGGACCCCCTTTTCTGGTATTCAGAGGGCCGTTCAGGAAAAATTAAACATGGTTCTGTGGTCCCCGCATCTGCCCCTATATCATGCAAAAGACCGTTTTCAAAAAGCTTGTCACGCCCTGAAAGTCATCCCTACGTTGCGCAAAGAACAACGAGGGGGTCGCATTTGGCCGAACGAAAGGGGGGGTCGCATACAGAGGGACCAGGGGGTGAAAGGCTGGGAGGAATGGTCCCAAAAGACATGAAGTTACCATAAACTCAATAGTAATCATATTTCAGGCTTGGCTGTTTCGTACCGATCTCCCTGCATGAATTACTACATCGTGAAAAAATCTTTCTGTCTTCAGCACACTTCTATTTAGACCTAGCTTAATTATGAAAAAAAGGTGGTATAGGTGCCAAACTTAGCAAGTCACCAATTTCCAGCGTATCGATTGAAATTCAACTGTGTAGAGCAGTTCATGGGAAAGTAAAACAACCATCAAACCATAAAACACACAATGGTACCGCAAAACATACAATGCAATTCGATCATGTACTATCACCTTCTTCGGGAAAGTGGAGGACCTTCAAATGCGAGTGCGACTTCCACCCACAGACAGGTGCACGGCGTATACCCGAGCAGGCGTTTTCCCATAAAACGCCTTCTCTGTGAGCGGCCGTAAGCAGACAAACTTCCTCAAGAAAATTTTGATGCTTTCAAATCAAATCTAAGCGGAACAAAATGTAGCGAACTTGCTGAATTGAATTTCAAAGACCCCTTATGAAATTGAAGCAGAAGAAAGAATTCCATGAAAAGTTAACGCTAGTAATAAAGTACTCTTCGCGTAGATTCTAACGGTCTTTACCGCTTCTCATTTTATGAAGTTTGAAGGAAGTTATGGGTTCTTGAATATTGCAATGTCGCGGTTCAGAAGAAAGGCTTGAAAAAAGTCTATGAAAAAAACGGAACGACGGGACTATTTTTTGAACGAGTGATTTTTCAAAAAAGTTTCAGCCCTTATTCGAAAGCTCTAATCTTCTAGTTTCTAATTAGCCTTAGACATTTGCAAAAAGTTAATTATGAAGAAAGTTATGAATGTTTGAATGTCGAAAACTCGCGTGTGCACAAAAACGGAACGACGGGACGATTTTTTAAATATTGAACATCCGCAACATTTCAAATGCTTTTTTGAAAGAAAACTATTTGAATTTTTAAAATTTTGGTGTCCGGTTCCATGAGAGCGCCGACGAACGAAGATATAAGTTTTCAAATAAGGACGTAAATTACTACTGCATATCCAGTTTTCCGGCTTATACAAAAAGGAGAAGGAAAAGGAGAAACGGGAACCAAGACTCGAGGGATCGAGAAAATGAAAACCAAGCCTCACTTCTGCCTGATTCGAACTCCAACCTACCCATGATCGAGCTTTAAATGAAACAATGATCTCTTTCGTTCGAAAATTCGGAAGTTTTTCGATTTCCTCCATGAAATGGAGGATAAAATATGGCGTGTGAAGAAAATATTGTGTTATTTTCGGGATTTCTTCAGGAATAAAGAGAAGAAGCCATGTACACACTTCACTTTATTGGACAAAGACGTTGATACACACAGAAATACACCGTAACACTAAAAAACACACATGTCCAATAGGGGGGGGGGTCGCACTGACACCCCTTGAAATGGAGGGGGTCGCAAAAAATTTGGAATTTGCGCAACGCAGGGTTGACCCTGCCTGAAAGACCTTCGTGGTTAGTGGCTTCGTGAGAGTCGTAGTGGCTAGAGTCGGGAAGTGTCTCAGCGGGAGAAGCCTGTGTGGCCTAAGTTAGGAGGAAAAGGTTACACCAAAAGGTTGTATTTTAAGGTAGCCAATCACAAGTGGTCCACCATTTATGTAAATTGTATAAGTGAAGGATTTGATGGATCCTACTGTATGCATACCGTAGCTCAATAGTGTGGAAGAAAAGAGAAATTCCGAAGATGGCACAAATATTCGACGCGGTTCATTTTCTTCGAAAAAAAAAACAGAGTAGTTCAAATTCCCCTTTAATAAAAATCAAACAAGATCATTCTTGGTTTCCAGATGCGCCAGTAAAGATGATTGCTGTGCCGATTTATGAACTTCTAAGCAATTCAGAAAAGTGAAAGTCATGTGGGTGGCATAAGTAACTGACGAGTAGTGATGTGGTAGCCTTCATCCCATGCTCTATGTATTAGATGACACTGATGGCCTTTATTCAGTGCGGACGAGGAAGAGGGGGATCAATAGGTCTGATGGTAGAAAATAGCTATCGCCTAGACCAATCTGATCCGATACGTCACGCAGTGCCATGGCGGCTACTGCCTTATCTGAGGGAGAATACTCGTAAGCTTCATAGAATTACTTCAAGAATGCCCAGCACCCATAACAACTCTACCATGGAATGTAGTA